ACACAGAATCGTACATTTACTGGAAACATCATGAGTTTTTTTTGTGATGATGTGTCACAGTGTATTTAATGTGTGGCCCAGGACCGCTCTTCTCCTTCCAGTGTGGCCCAGAGACCCCGAAGGTTGGACACCCCTGCTAGAACTTAACGGCCACTCCCAGGATGCGTCCTCAGAAGGCGTTCAGGCTTTCCCACGTCTTCCGGTCCTGACGCCTGAATGCCGGCGTGTCTCCCTCAGCAGCCCCACAGCTGGGCCTGCGCGCCGGCTGCCAGGGTCCCGTTCCCGAAGCTCGGATCCGATTAGGTCATCGGTGCTCTGTGCAAGGACTTGTCGCCCTGCAAGCAAATTCTTAGCATTCCTTTCCAGGCCTTCCATAAACTGGCCCCTAAATCCCGAAATGGACTCGATCTTTTATCGCACGCGTTGTTTTGTCAACAAGAAGAGGCAGGATCTATGTTCTTGGTCCCATCACTACACATCGGAATGTCGTCCTGCGTTTAAGGTCTGGCCAGGAAGACTTCCCGGCCCCCTGCAATCCCCTACTGTCCCCTCTCTGCCTGCTCGCGTTTGTTGTGGATGACGCAACTGCTTTTCCTCCTGTGCAAACTCCTTTAGCTCAGGGAAGCTGTCTCCTGACGCCTCATCTGTGTCGTAGGCTCATGGTGTACTCACTCCACTGTCACCAAATTAAGCTGAGTTCTTTATTATAGTTCCGACTGAGAAACCCAGTGGGTAGATTAAGCACATCTGTTATTTTTATGTCTTTTGAAACCAATCAAAGAGTTCTAGAAGTTCATTTCAGTTCAGATATTCACTGAGACGCTCAATCTGTGTTGCTAGGTACTGTGGTAACTCTTAAAGATAAAAAAAAATGTAGAACGTTACCCACACCCTCTAGAAGCCTGTAGTTCAGTGGAGAAAGAGAGTTAATTCTTACGACATTTCGGGAGCTTGACATTGGCATACACCAAAATCATTCAAAAGGAACTAGCACCTCGCAGACGCTCAGTGGTTATTTTATTTGGTGAATGGGTGGGTAGGTGGAAGAAGAAAGAAGGAATTCTGTAATTTGTAGTTTACCTATTGCAGTGTTTGCTCCTGGCTGTAACAGTTTTGAAGATAATTTACTCAAGTGTTGCTTCCCACACTTGTACGTGAAAAGTGCCGCTTTTCATCTGGGAAGAGCGACTCCAGTTCTCCATCTGTACAAACTCAGACTAATTTCCTGGCAGTGTGGTGCATTTGCGTAACTCCTCCAGTATTCTCATCTCAGGCAGCTCCGTGGTGCAGGTCACACGCTTCCCAGGCGGGGGGAGGCCTGCAGCTGTCTGGGGCCGATCCGCACCCACGGCCCCATTCTCTGTGCAGACAGTTCATGGGCTTTGGGACGAGTTCCGAATGGTTTCCCAGCCATGCAGCTTTTTTTGTGGGCCTTTCTTTACTTGACTTAAATAGTGATTTGAATGAAAAAAATGACAAATTATATCATTTTAATGCAATTGTTGTATTTTCTTGACTTTATGATTTGGGATTATCTAAGAACATTCACTCAAATATTTATTGCATGAAAATGCATTTGAAACTTCTTAAAAACAGTGCAAGATGGTATATAAGGAAATGTCTTTAGAGTACCCCTGTTCTTCCCATTTGCTGAGGCAGAGTAGGGCTCAGTGGAAAAAAATGAGATGCCCCAAGGGGTTATTAGGCTGGTCTTGGGATAAATTTATATTGATGCTGCTTTTAAATTTTTATTCTGCTTTTTAATGAGCAAAAAGATCCTTTTTTAAAAAAAGTATTTTATTTATTTGTTTTTAGAGAGAGAGGGGAAGGGAGAGAGAAAGAGGAGAGAAACATCCATGTGTAGTTGCCTCTCTTATGCCTCCTACTGGGGACCTGGCCCACATTGAAGGCATGTGCCCTGACTGGGAATTGAACCACTGACCCTTTGGTTCGCAGGCCGGCACTCATTCCACTGAGCCACACCAGCCAGGGCCAAAAAGATTCTTTTTAAAATGAAAACCAATATCCAGTCCCGAGGTGTGGCTCAGTTGGTTGGATGTTGTCTCACAAACCAAAGTGTTGCTGGTATGATTCTCGGTCAGGGCACCTGCCTGGGTTGCGGGTTCAACCCCCTGTTGGGGCAAGTCTGAGAGGCAACTTATTAATATTTTTCTCTGGCATCCATGCGTCTCTCCTTCTCTTTCTCCCTCCCTTTTCCTCTCTCTAAAAATAAAAAAAAATTTTAAATTCTATCCAAATTAGGAGACTGCCTTTCCCAGCAAAATGAATAACTAATTATTAATCATTACAGAGCCAGGAAAGGGGTGCATCAACCTGAGATTCAGAGGAGAGAAACACACTGTGTTGGTTGTGCCTTTGCATTAGTTGGGGTTGAATTTCTTCAGGGCAGGCCTTGTCTTGTTTATCTCCTTATCATTTGTGTTAGGCTGTAGAAAGAATAAAGACTTACTGAATGGCACTGGTTTAGGATTACATGTAATGTGGCCACACAGAACGCAGGAGAATGGCTGCCCACCCCCTGGTGGCTGCTGAGACCCCACATGGGGGAGGGCGGGACACTTGTCTTAAAGTTGCTTCTGCAGGCAAGCAGTGCTGTTTACATAGACTGCATGTTCAAGGTCAACCTCAGTGGCAGAAATTTCTAAAGGAATGGCCGTTCACACATTTCAGAAGAGGAAAATGTCGGCTGTCCCCACCAAAGTACATGGTCATGATTTTAACTTGGAGTGGCTTCAGAGGACACTGTCACCAGCAGCTGGCACATCCTGTCACGCATGACGTCATTTCTTATGTGATGTGATGTGAGTGCCTGAAGCCCTAGACAGGTGCTTCTAAAGGCAGCACTGATAGATTGCAAAGGCAAATTTTACTTATGTCGTGATCAAGATACTTCCCATTACCTCTCACTGTTGTGGATTAGTGATGGCTAACGACAACTCGCCAAGTGGCTGGATGGATAAGACACTGGACTGGGGGTCCGGAGGACGCTGAGCTGGTGGTCCTCTGACTTCTGTGGATCTCAGTGTCCTTCCTTGTGGAAACAGGGACGCTCATGTCAGCCCTCAGTGTAGAATTGTGGTGAATTGTCTAATACAAGCATTTCCGTAAGAGCTCCTCATAATTTGTACTGTTCATGTGTAAAGAGTTGCTTGTATTACAAGTTTGGTGATACTGTCTCTAACATCAGTTCTGCCTGTAATCTCAGTTTTGCTGGATAGCTTGTCCCTCGCACTCTAATCCGGTCCCCAGTCCCTGGTCTGAATCAGCCTAGGGACCAGTAGATGCTGGCTCTGTCATTTGCCTCTGTGCACAGGAAGCTGTGCCACTAAATGAGTCGGGTCAGGTCGGACATCGAGGGAGGCCTTGGGTTTGGGAATCATCCGGGACGTGTCATGAATTTGACCTTAATCAACTTGTTGGCATTGGTCTGCGCCTTGTCCTTTCCCCTCCCCCGCTTCCTGGTCTCAGCCTCATGACTGTTGCATGTTCTCTGCCGTGTCTGAGATGGGCTGTTCCGACGCCAAGCCCAGCACTGCCCGAGGGCCGAGCAGGACGCAGACCGTGTCACAGGGGAGATGGGAACAAGACCTCGTAGAGGGTGTACTGCTCAGTCCAGCTTTGTCCCGCTTCTGGAGTGGGAGTGCCGCCTGGCCCCTCCACCAGGCAGCCCGTCTGCTCCGGGGGTCCCGGGGTGTGCCACCAGGCCTCCCTGGTCTGTGACCGATGATCTGACAAGGGCTTTGCGGAGCCCTTCGGGACGGTTTTGATCCTTCTCTTGCACCAGTGCTTTGATGCCACACTTGGCAGCCTGAAGGCAAATGATGCCCTCCCCTGCGTGCTTCCTGGGCCCCAGAGATGCTTCTGGTCTTGGCGGGGGTGGGGGGTGGCGGCGAGCATGCTGCTGTTGATGAGCCTGCAGGGAAAGGGCTGGCACTGTTGAGGCGCCATCTGAAGTGCCCTCACCATCAAGGTGAGCGGTTGCTTTGGCACAGGTGGTGCTGTCTTGGGCTCTGAGTGTCCAGGTGCCGCCTGCGCTGAGAAGGCCTGATGTGGGTGATGTGAAGGGGTCAGGGAGCGTGAAGATTGACTGACAGAGCATATATACTTGGGTTGGCTGTGAGGGGCATTCTGGTTCTAGGCCCGGTCAGTCGTTGCCTTTTCAAGCTGTGATTTAATCTTGGTTTTGTCTTCATAAAATTGCCATCCGTGTGAAAGGTAAGGTCGGTGGCCTTCTCCATTATGACCCGGTTTGGATTTGGTGTCTTGGACTCTGAGAGTTTACCTCTCCTCTTGCAGAAAGTAATTCAGTGCTCTGGCTGGTATCATTTCACACCTGAAGGGGGCACTCTAACCTCAGGAGGCGCTCTGCACAAGCAGCTGCAGCCAGCCTGCCTGCCACCACTGCTCAGCAGGGAGGTTTGCCCACTCCCTTGGCTTCTCTGGTGTTTTGTCTCCAGCGAGAAAATAGTCACCGTTCCCAGTGACTTAATAAACCTCCATAAAAATGAAGCAACCCGAGTGCACCGCGGGACCGAGGGGACCAGGCTGCTCCCTTTCCCACTGAGCCTCACGGCTCCCCGTAAATTTCTGGAGCTGTTACTGAGTGGGTTTTCACTGAGGGAGAACTTCTGTGAGGCTGGGGACTTGGCAGGCCAGCTGGCTAATCCTTTGGGTGTTCTTTCGACATTGTCTGCAGTGAGTGTGGGAGTCAGAGGCCCTTCCGTGCAAAGAGAATGCCCGCTTGTTCCCCGGAACCCCGGAGGAGCCAGAGTCAAAGGGGTTTTTTGTTTCACCCACAGAAGCCGCCCAGGAAACCCCAGCTTCAGATGTGCCTGTGCAGCCTCATTGTCCCATGGGATCTGGCCGTGCTCGGACCACCGGGGAGTGAGGCAGCAACTGCAGGAAAGAAAGAGATGACGCGGTGCCGCTCACACGGGCTGGGGGCTTGTGTGTGCAGGCACGCAGGCCTGCGTTTCCCCTGGACCCCGGCGCCCCAGCGCCCGCTGGAGCAGGGAGCGGTTGCTGGGGAAGGTAGTAATCGCTGTTAAAGGCCTGAGTGCAGTCCCGCCTCCTCGTAGGCACTCGGCATTGCCTTTAGGGGCTATTACGAGATTTCAAGTCTCTGCCAGAAAGCCTGCCACTTACTAGGTATATGACCCACAACAGGCCATATCATTTCTCTTATTTCTAAGGCAGTCATCTTATTTGTGGGACTGTTGGGAGGATTACATGAGCTAAGACACGAAAAGGGGTTAGAAATCAGTAGCATATTAGGACAGGTGGGCTGCAGCCTACACCTGTGCAGGTGATGTCCCTCTGAGGGTACCTGTCGAGGGGTGGGTGCGGACATCACCTGCACAGGTGTAGCCTTGACATCCAAGCTGGGCCCTGGCACGGAGGAGTACGTGCTTCTTTCTCACTCATCAGGCCAGAGGGGCCTCCTTTTCTAATTTACCTTCCCTGGGGCTCGTCTTTTCATAGCTCATCACCCCAGAGCGGGGGAGGGGGTGCCTTGTGAAAACTTTGCTCAACGGTACTGGTCCCGAATGTGCTAGCAGCACCCTGTCAAAGAGGAGGATGCTATTACTAGTGCAGTGGACAGAACCGTCTAGACGGAGGGTGTGACTCACTTTACCTGGCTGCAACTTGGTCATTTCACTGACGGACCCGATTATTGAAGTCAGAGGAGCGATCGTGCTGTTTCTTCAATTCTAAATTTCCTGCAGGGTTTTCCTCGAGGCCAAGGGCTCTACTCCCCTGCCTCCCAAGGCTTTCCTCACCTGTCCTCCGGAAGGGATGTGTTTTAGCACAGGGCGGGAGTGCAGGCTGGTCATGCGCTCTGGGTCCTTGCCCACTCTGTGTGTGCTCTTTGCCGCTGTGGCCGGGAGTCTGACAGCAACACCAGCCTGGCTCCCTGGCCTGCTCCCTTCCTGTCGGATTCTGCCTGTAGGGGTCCTGGTGGGGGTCCGCCCCGGCAGCAGGCGGAGAGCTCCCTGGTTCTGAGTTTTGCGGTGGGGCAGTTGCAGGTGAGGGTGGCGATGTGCGTCCGGAGCAGCTGGGACAGGTGGCCCTTTCCCCAGCCTCTTCAACCAAGCATCAGACGGAGCGGACTCAGGGACGCGACGCTGAGGTCTGATCTCTGCTGTTCTCCCTTCTTCCTCTTTGCTCCTGCTCCGCCTTTGTTCTCTCCAGTTCTCTGCATGCCTTTGTGACCATCTCTCTGTATGTTTTTTTATGAACAGTTGAGTTTATTTCAACGGCAAATATGGAGTTTGTGCTTTAGGGAAGAGTTCTACAGTAGTTATATCTGTAGGAACAGTTTCCCACACTGACAAACATGTAAAAGTCCTTTTGCACTCTCCTCGGCACTGACCGGCACGCAGACTCTGTCCATATTCACTTCGATCCATCCACAGAGTAAACTCAGGCTACTTCTCTGCGAACGGTGGCATCTCGGTGGGGGCGGGAGACCTCCCGGAGTCGCAAGCAAGTCCATCTGGAAGTGGGGATGGGGAGAAGCTTTAGGGCCAGGAAAGGGACATGACAGGGTCCACAGGAGGATTAATAATACAGTGAATGTTCCAACGTAGCTTTATTGTTTTTAAATAAATACAAAAACATAGTCATTATTAAGAAAACCAAGCCTGGGAAATAAATGGCTGAAGAAGAAATGATCACTGGAGTCCCCGCTTCTCACGGTTACTTCTGCGGTGAATGTCCATCTAGAGGGTTCTCGGAGCCCACGTTACCCGGGCGGGATTATGTCGCATCTTGTTTCCTAGGCTCATTTTTTCCCACTTGTCAGTGTAGCACAGAAGCATTTTCAAGTCATCAAACGTTGTTTCGTATCGATATTTCTAACGGCGACAGAGGTCCTTGTGTTTGTTCCGTGACTCAGTCATCCTGTCATCCTCAGTTGACGTGCGTACAGTTGTCACCCTTTAGATCGTGCTGATTTTTATTCAGCTCTTGTATTCACGGCGGTGCTAGTGCTTTACCGGATATTCAGGGCTATCCATGGCTTAAAACCTTAGAAGTGGGCTTCTCTCCCACGCAAGGCTCAGGCCCCCCTGCCGTTTGCCAGGATCACCTTGAGGCTCCAGGCTGGGATGCAGGGGCTGCTGGGCCTCGCACGGCCATCCAGAGACTCACATTGACACAGGTCCCACCACCTTAGGCACGTGGCTCCCAATCATGCCCTGGCCTTTGCCATCAAGCTGGCAGAAAATGGAAAAGAGAGAAGATTTCAGAGGAGGTTTTTAGGCGTCGGAACCGGAAGAGGCAGATACGGCTTCTGCTCATATTCCATTGGCCCGCGTTAGTCACATGGCCACACGAAGCTGCAGAGGAGGCTGGGAACTGTCACCAGCTGTGAATGCAGGAGGAAAGGGAAGTAGGCTTAGTGAACATTGGCCAGTCTCTCCCTACTACTGGTCACCAAATTCCCATTTCACTTCCCTCTCACATCTGGGACCCATGTACTCCCCTGCCCCCCATCAAGAAGGAGACACCACAAGTCCCAAGCAGCCAGTGGATCTGGCTTGCCCCTTAGTACTTCCCTCCATCACATGTAGAGGAGGATCCTCATGGTTCTGTGACTTACGAACTAAACAGAAAAAAGTGATTTGCCTCCTCCATAGCCCCTGTCAGTTTTTAGTGGTGGAGCAGAGACAGTGCAACGGCACTAAAAATTCCGTTTCAAACGGGTAAGACGAGGTGGGTGCTGTCGCAGGTTCAGAGCAACCGTGGAAGCTGGTGGTGGGTGCGCAGGTGAAGGCCCCCGGGCAGCGGGTGGAGAACTTTCTCCCCGAGACTTCGATTCTGCTTTCTGAGAGGCAGTCCCTTGCCTCCACGGTCCCTGGCTCTGTCCTGCCAGGTTCCTCCTGTCTTTTATCCTCCATGGGGACATTTGAAGCAGTTGCAAGGGTGTGAACAGCTTTTGCTGTCCTCTGTTTGGTGGCCTGAGGGTTTTTATTTTAAGGCTAACTTAGGCATTTTTTAAAAATTAGGCCACACATTTCTGTCAAAAACTTCATGGGTTTCTCTTTTGTTTTGTTCCATTACATTGCTCATAGTGTACCAGTAGTTAATCCCAAAGCTTTTCTCCAGACGTGTGTGTGAAGTTGGGTTGGTGGTATTCCTTTAGCACCCACAGCCTTCTTTCTGAACAAAACGGCCATCGCTGTGGTCCTCAGGCTCAGGGGCGGGGGCAGCGCTCTTCATCAGCTCTCGGCCACAGGGCTGTCTTCGGGCTTTGTCCTCAGAAGGGTTTCCACTTTTATTTCTTACTGCTTGAGATTAGAAGCAGTCAGCTTTGCCAACTCTCTCAGCACACACGCTTCTGGTTTCCATCCCCGTTCATTTCTGTGTGCCAACCAACAACTTCTTGACTGAGCAGATCTCTGTTTAATATTGCTTTAGTATTATCTGCACTATTTCCATTTTAATACTCATTTTCTACTTTCCAAGTTTTTTCCTTAGAGCTACAAGCCCGGTTGGCACTGGGTCCGCTTCTTAGTGGCAGTGTGACGGGCAGAAAAATGGCCCTTCCATATTTGCCTGGACCCTGAGCGTATGTGACCTTGCTTGGCAAAGGGACTTGGAAGAGGTAAATACGTCAAAGCTTTCTTAATGAGAAGATGATCTTGGATTTTAGGAGTTGGCCCCATATACACATGAGAAGACAGGGGCGAGTCAGAGAGAGACCTGAAGGGCCATGCTGCTGGTTGTGAGAATGGAAGAAGGGGTCACACCCCAAGGAATTCGAGCAGTTTCTAAAATCTGGAAAAGTCAAAAAAACCTATTTTCCCCTAGCGCCTCCATCAGGAGAGTAGGTAGCACTGCTGACCCCTTGATTTTAGCCCAGTGACACCTGACCTCCAGAACTGTAAGGGAATGAATTTGCATTGCTTTAAACTATTAAGTTTGTGGTAGTTTGTTATGGAATTGCTTCCTGCTCTCCTCACCCTCTTGATTTCTGAGCGAGTTTGCTAAAATTCCCTCTTTCCTTCACAGCTCTCCCTCCCTCTGTCCACATTCCAAGTCATTCGGGTCATCGCTGGTGGGTGGGTGTGGACAGTTCTCAGTTCTGCTCAGGGGCATGCCATGCTCATGACCTTCTTGGCTGTTTTTTCTACAGGGTGGTGCCTGGAAAGGAAAAAGATGACCCTACAAGGGTCACCTTAGACCAGGGAGCAGTAGGTCTCCTATCTCCCGCCATCTAAATGTTGGGTCTCTTCAGTATAAGCCGAGATAATGCTTATGTTTTAGTGCCCAAATCACAGTGGCCACTCGGGTTGAATTCTACTGCCAACTTCAACCTCTCCGCTTTTCACATCATATGAAAGCAAAAGACATTATGAATTGTTCTTGTGTCTTGGAGAATGTCTGCCATCTTGAATCATGTAGCTTTTGGCCCCAAGAGGAAAACAAAATTGTTCTGCATTCATCTCTCTAGGGGAAGGTTTAGAGACTGGGCCAATAATAAGGAGAGACAGATGGAATTCTGAGAGAAAGATGGCAGATTCTAGAGCTAATCTAATTAAAGGGCTATGAGAACTTTTCATTGGTGCATAAATGAAATATGACAATCAGTGTCAGCTAAGAAACCCTTAGCAAATATCTAATCTCATTATTTTTAGCATTACATAGAGATGTCACTTTTTTATAATTAGCAGTATAATATAAAAGACACAGGGCAGGCGTGTGCCTATCCTTTGTGTCCACCCCTCCCTACCTACTACTCAGATGGTATAGGATGTTCTGACCATCTGAATCTGTGACATGTCCCTGCCACTTCCAGCTTGGAACCGTTCCCTAAGGGTGAAGTGCTCTTAGGGAGGAGAAAAGGCTTCATCCTAACTCAGGCATCAGGGGCCCCCAGGGTTGATTGGAAACGGGAGAATCTGGAGAGGAGAGCTCAGGGCTGGCCTCAAGGAAGGAGGGACTGAGTTTATAGAAAATTCTTAGGGATGGAATTATTCTATTAAAGTCAAAATGGCTGTGCCCCATACCCCTGGGCTTCCTGGGAT